CATTCCCCATGGCATGTCCCTTTTGCATGTTCTGTCATTTTTATATGTCTTTATATATTTGAGGGTCTTGCTTCTTTATGAAGAACCTTATTTTCTCTTTATTAAGTTGGTTTAAGTTTCATGAGTTAGCATGTTGGTGGAACTACTCAAACAACCCATAGTATGACATATAGTGATAATAGGGAAGAAAGAAGCATTACTCGTTGGCATATATTAATGCGAGTAATGTGAGTTATAGGATTGTTCCTAGCAAAGAACCTATTTAACATTTGCCAATTAACTTGATGAAGGTTGCCTGGATTGAATGTTTAGGGAAGGGGCCAATTTGGAGACCCCTAGTTCCTATGGGTATGCCCTTCACCTCAACACTAAACATCTTGCATGTAGTTGAAAGTTAGGAAACATCTTCCAATTCCTATTTAGAGTTAGGGCTAAAGTGTAATTTGTAATTATTTATACACAAGTATTATTTCCTTAGTTTGCGCTAGCTATTATACGTCTTGTGTGTCTTTCTACATGCTTTATCTAGTTTGAGTCTTGCATATTAGCATGTTAGAGCATATTTTCCTTACAGGGAGCCATGTCCAATAGAGAGGAGCTTAATAACATTTTAAGCTAATACCTTTTCTACTGGTGTTGGCTAACTCTCTTATAAAATAAATCCTTTTTAGACATTGTATGAGCTAGCCCCTGCTAACCTCTACTTTGTAGGTCTAGTCTTTTTTTGACCTTTTAATATACTTTTAGAGTATCTTAAAAGAGCATGTAATGGAAATAAGGCATAAACATGAGTCTCAAAGCTTGAAACATATACAATATGGCGACAACCACAAGTTAGTTTTTCATACATTGTACTTTAATTCTAGATTATACATTTATTGCATATTTCTAGGATTTGGTATGTATATACGAAGCTAGATAGTCATTTTATTGAGTGCTTTCCTTAATCTAATTTGCATGTGTTCACTCTTTCTTATGTACACAATTTGTCTGCACACGATCATGATTAGGCTCTTTAAGATAAAAAATTATTTCTATAAAATTTTAACTTACAAACATATTATATGTCTTGAGAAAAGTGTCATTTGTGGGGTGCCTTTGCTCTGTACCTGAGTCATTGTTTCTCCTTCTTTCTATGTTGGTTTATTGTTCATACCCTTGACATGTATAATCCCTATTCTACCTTCTTGTTCTAGATTGAATCCTAGAAGCTTAAACATTTTCTTTCGTTGGACTTTGGATTTATTGGGCTATTTTAGATGATGCAACACATGAGTTGCTAATAATGTGATCCCCAACTGGGTTAGGTTGACTACCTTCATGACTTAGTAGATCTATAGTATCAATTGTCTGGGAGCACGGGACCATAGAGCCCTAACTAGGCTATCTCTAGATGTCTAGGTTTTCATCGACCTACTTATTAATCTACCCCCTTTTGACACAATCTTTTTCTTAATTGAGTCTTAATGAGTTCATTTTGTATACCCTCTCAACCCTATGGAAACTACCCTTTAGAATACAATGATTCATCCTCTATATGGCGACCTTGTTTTGCCCTTTTGGTTGGAGATTTCCTCTGCAGGTTCCATAGAAAATCTTCTTAGTTACCTATGTTCTAAGATTTATTGAGCACACAATGCTTTTTAACATGACTCTTCGAGGGTATTCCCCAAGATGTAATTAACCATGAGGATATGTCATTGTAGGAGGTCCCTTTGAACCCAAACTAAAATACAATTAATTTGTATTTTGATTTGATAATGAATGTCTTTTTATATAATATTTTTGATATATTTTCTTAGGTTGAGCATGGTTCAGTTTACCTTAAATTGTTCTCCTCTATATGACATTATTTTTTCGAAAACATATCTTAGAAGCATTTTTTTTTTCTTCTTTGTTTTTGTTAACTTTCGATATTCCTTTCTTCCTTTGCTTTCTAAGCGATTGTGACCTAGAAAGGGGAATCTATGAAAGACAAATGCTAAGAAGGACATTCTGGCTATAACAAAAGGGATGTGAAACATAATGAATTACTTGCATAAGGGTGTATATAGATGATGGTGAAAGACTTTGTAAATATGGGTAAGTAAACATGTATCATCCTATTATGCACTATTTAAGCTACCAATGATCTATATAATTAGCTTACAAAAGTTTTTTTGGTTGAGTTTGCTAGGTTATAAAAGAGACAAATGGGAATCAAACATAATTGTAAGTTTCCAAGTTATGCACATTAAAGAATGACATTTACGAGGATCAAATGTCATTAATTAACTAACAACACACCTAGTGGAATCTTTCATATCATGTATCTTATCAATTTTGGCAAAGTTCTGTAAATAGATAAGTAACTCATTGAGATGGGTTTCTAGTGAGTGGATGGTCGGGAGAAGGGTAATGTTTACTAAGTTAATTATTATAAGCAAAATATTAACTTATGGGACAACTACTAACATATATCATCAATTAAAATAAAAAATTGATATAATCAATTATCTCAATTGGAACGATTGAATTGCATCAAATCACAAATTGATTCATTCTTTGCTATTTTAAGTTGATTTTTAGAGCATGTTTTTTTGTAAAATGTTGGCATGTGCACACAATTGGACCAAATGTTACAAAATTTTATTTGTTTGTGCATAAAATCATGGGGTCTTTATATATAAAAAAACACTCTTATAGTATTTATTGCATTTTCTTAATTCAAATATATAATAATTAAGTTCAATTAACATTTCAATGGTTTCCAATTTTTCTAAATTACCATGATGCTTCAAATGGAATATAATGAGTTACAAAATATTCTCGTTGCGTGCTAAATCATATTTGAATATTATGATTTCTCAAATGTTTACAATTTTCATTAAAAAAATTACAATAATCATGGTATCAATATATTTTTCAATTTCATAAATTTTGTAGCATGATTTTGTACCTTTTAAATTATTTTAAGATAGTTGGAATTAGTTTTATATGTTTTATAATTTTAAAAAATGATTTATACCATTTTTAAATCTAAATATATAATTTCAAAATTTTAAATAAAATTTGAAAATATTATTCGGCTTATTAAGCATCTCTTAAATTTTCATTGAATATTTATCTTATTTATTGATATAATTAGTAAATTTTAAATGCAAAATAATCCTAGATAGCATCATTACTACATTTGGGTACTCCAAGGCCATGCATCCCATGAGCCACTTTCACTGATTTTAGCTTTTTTTTTTTGAATTATTTGAGATTATTTTCTATAATTTATCATCAATATATTATTTATTTTAATCATTTATTATTAAAAAATAAATTAGTTGATGAAAAATTGATATTACTTAAGCATGTGACATTAGACATCAACGTGCAATCACACACACACACACACACACGTCTATGTGTGTGCGTAACTAAAAAACTTATTTTTAGATTTTATAAAATATGCTAATTATAAAAAAAATCAAAATTCATGTATATTTAATATCTCTGATGCATGTTCTCAAATATAAACATCATAGTGGATCTATGTATATATCTTCAATATATTTAGAAAATTGTTTAACTTCTTTGTCACTTTTCCTAACCATTGCAAGTTGCAACAATAGCAATAAATATGAAATAACATCCAACTATTAAAAAAAGTGTTTGATATTGTTCACTTTATATGTACAAATATGTGTCTAAGCTTTCATAAACATTGGATATGTGCATTTATATTATATTTTTTCATCATTAAAAAGCTTTTTTTATTAATTAAAAAAAAAGAAAATTACTTTAATTGATAAAGGCCCAATTTAAAGTTTTCCAAATTAAAAATCTAACATCAAGCATCCATTTTTAATTCCAATTTAGAGAGTATTTAGAGTTATACCTAGCATTGTTGTTCTTTCCCCCTTTGAGTTCTCTCATGTCATTATATAAGTATCCCCTTTAATACTATTTAAAGTGATATTAATATTCACAAATTATGATGAATGTAACTTGTAGTTATATAGTTATTCCTAAGGGCTAATATAACTATGACTTTGAGCTCATTTCCTTGTGCGAAAGTCTGATTCCCCAACCATTGCAAAAGCCCTTGGCTTTCTCATGCCCACCAAATGCCGTGTCATCAACATGTGGCACCAAATCCTATATAAAAATTAATTGAAAGACATAAAGATATGAAAACTTTTGTCATATATATTTAAGTTTTTTCAAAGGAGTAAAATATATATTTAAATGAATTTAAAAATAGTTAATTATTTAATTTCTTGCAGTTATTCTAAATAAAATAAACTTAAAATTTATATTTATAAAAAATTAATTAGTGCATACTTTAAAAGCACTTTTGAATATATATTCATTTGAGACATTTGAACAAATTTAATAAATTAAAGGGGTATTTACAAGCATACCATCTAATTTCTATATATTTACCTATCAACACATGAAATTTAGATTTCATATTTATATCACCCAAGTCTTTTATATAAAATAAAAATATGACTATTTTAACTTATAAAAAAGTGAATGCTATTTTTTATGCATAAGTAGACATATATGTAAAAATAAAAAATTTAAATATTAACTAAATATATAAGAATTAAGTGGCACGCAGGTGTAAACACCCCCTAAAATTCTTATATACATTATATATATATATATATATATATATATATATAAGAATTTTAGGGGGTGTTTAGTAGCATATTTAATAGAATTTAGTCATAGATTTAGTCTAAATTCAACCAAATATAAAAAAAAAATGAAAATTTAGTCTAATGCTTTGTAAAATCAAAATTTTTCTCATTTCATCATTTTGAGACATAAATTTAAATAAAATAAATCTAAATAATAAAAAAAATTTAAAGAATTTATGACACCGTTGCTTGTGAGTTGTGACCATCATTTAGCTTAAAACCAATCTGCAGGGCGGCTTGCACTCCATTGAATACAGACTACAGAGACAAAAACAGAATAAATATATATAATGATTTATGAACAACCGCGCTGCGCGTTGCTGCACCTGTTTTCTCCCCCTCGCTTCTCCACTGCTATATAAGAGCCGGGCGCTGAAACTTGAGGAAAGATACAAAGAGAAAATAACCGACTGTTTTTTAAGTTTTTGGCGTCATGGAGGAGAGTAGGGATGAGCGGTTGTCCTCTTCTCCATCTTCTCCATCTGGTTAGTTGCCGTAGTTCTCTATTCGTCATTTGCTTTCCTTTTTAACTTACAAACTTCTATGGATTTGTCTCTATTCGTCATTTGCTTTCCTTTTTAACTTACAGCATGCTAACTTCTATGGATTTCTGTATGAGGGTTTTGTATTTCTGTTGACATTTTATTGGGGCTGTTGAGTGCTTCAATCTTATTTAGCTCTATCTGTATTCAGTTCCGATTGTGACCTAATTTATTTTTGAAAAGAAAGGGAGATGGGGAAGTGTGTTCTTTGTTTTCATTGAAGCTGCCTTGTTTATGGCTATAGGAAGGTTTTCATTCTTCGTTTGTATGGGGATTTTTATTTTTCATAGGCAACCAGGAGAAGTTCACGTCTATTTTAGTTCATATTATCTTCAATAGATTTATCACGTGTTGTCAACTGTTAAAAAGAGAAATCGTATACTAATTTTTGAATGAGAAACCATCAGAGGTAGCTAGTGCTCATTGTCTTTACTGCATGAATGAAATGAAAGCTGAAAAGAAGTAGTAGAAGAAGAAGAAGGTGGGCAAAACTATGGTTTCGATCATTCCGACTCTCTTAAATGAGACATTATGCAAGTATGCAGCTTTAAAAATACTGAAATTCCAAACAATTAGTACTTTTTCATAAAATTATTTGAATTCACAGATATTTAAACTTAAAGAAATTTAGCTATAGATGTGCTTGATAGAGGAACTATTAGAGATTTCGGAGGGGGTAATTTGTTTTTGAAGTCTACTTTTGTTATCCTAGAAGAAATTTCATCAATCACTCCAAAAAATTCTGAAGATAGCTTTTGATATGCTCTTGGTGTTAACCTTTAGTCCCAAACACTTTTTATAGTACAATTTTTTTATGGAATCAAGCCTATTTTCTCAAGTAGATGGAAATCATTAGAAGAGTGAGTTTACAATCTATAATCAGTGAAGAAGGTTTTCATAAGTTCACTTTTAGATTATCTTATATACAGGGATCATCAGGCGGAGCTTGCCAAGGGCCAACAGTTTGCCTGGTGAGGTAAAAATTGCAGAAAGTTCGGAGGCATCAACAAGCACGTTAACATTGAATAGATCTAAAACTGAGAGAAGAAATCATGATGTTTGGCGTAGAGACCCTACGACACAACTATTTGATGATAAAATCTCTGCTAAAAGGAAGGTTAGAATCTTTTTATGATGGTTTATATTGTTTAGATGTTACCTTTATAATGTAACAAATGTTTTTATATTGGAACATCTGTGGTGTTCTTTGTTAGACCATTGTAATTACTATTTTTCTATACTTAGTTGTGCAAAAATGCTATATATTTGGTAGGATTTGTAGGACAATGTCCATTTGTTGTGACTGAATGAACATTGTATTCAATGTCACGTAGAAGAAAGCAAAACTATTTTTTTTTTTCTAATTTTGAAATTTTCATCACAACTAAAAACGATCAAACCATTGCAAAAAACTGTCATTCCAGAATAGTTGGTAACTGATAAAGTTTCTCTAAAGTCACTTTTCAAATTTCTAAAATGAAAATGAGCCACTCTATTTTTTATAGAAAATATTTGTAGAGAATACTAGCATTTGTAATTGCCTGTTATGTTTTGTGATTCTAAATTCTGAATAAGGAGTTTACTTATTCATTTAAAATTACTTTTAATTCTGAAGTTCAAGTCAAATATATTACACTATCAATTTTTTTATTTATAGTGGATATAACTAGAGGGAAATTCTGATTAGATTATACAATCAAAGAATAGGTAACATGGAAACCCTTATCACAAGTTGGAGAAAAAAAAAATAAATTATGTGCAAGTCAAATAATTTATCGGAACTTTCAAAATGTATGAAAATATTTTATTGACATAAACAATTTTGATTGCTTTCTCCTTGGTTTGTTTTTGCCAAAGTTCTCATGGTCTCTACTCTTTTATTATAGCAAGATGAATTTGATGCATTTCTGATTCAAATAGCAACAGCTTTCTAAGTGCTATATGCCTTAAATGTTCCCCTTTCGAAGGCATTCCTAGACAATGTTCCAAAATTTTTTATTTTGGCTCCAAAATAAGTTTGGGTCTATTGATGCTAATATTATGTGGTGTAGCATGAGAGTTACTTTTATGAATCCCCTTGTAAGATGATGAAGTTGAAATGTTTTTTGATTTTCTAAGTTTTTCGTTAGATGCCTATGCATTACACCAATGAAAGGCATTGCATACATTTTAGCTTTAGTTCACGTGCTTTTTTTATTTTTTGGATGCATGGAAGTAGGTGTTCTAGAAAAAGAACTTGTGGGCTATTGAGATTTTTTTTTTTAATTTAGTATTTTGATTAGTAAGATCCCATTATTGATTATACAAATATTGCTTTTTGCCTTTTAATCATCTCTCATAGCCAAATAAACTTTGAAATCCTTGTAATTTGAAAAATGCTTCTTTAATTTTTTTTAATACCTTGTTGTGGTCATGATACCATTCTAGGACTCCTAAAAGGTGTCTAGGAAGCATATTTAGACTGGAGATGATTGAGAAATAACAACTGAATGATAATATGCGAGGTCGACAACATTCAAAGGGGGAATGAATGATGTTTGAAGGTTATCCCGACTGAAAATAATAAAGAGAACCACAAAACGATGATGTATGGGTGACGTGGAGGTTCCACCACCTACTACTGAGCAAGATACAAACATACCACTTACAAAAGGAAATACCATAGTACTCCGAAGAATATAACGTATAGACAGTTTTTAAAAATGATAAGAACACAAAATTCAGAAAAAAGTAAGAAATACATGATATTAACAGTCCACTGACCGACCTTCTATATAACAAGTGATTTAGGGATTTAAAATTATAATTTTAAAATATATTTGATAAATTTTATAACTAGAGTTTACCACTGTTAAGCACAAAACACTAGATAATAACGCAATTGCGCATATCGTTCAAACAATATGATACTTTCTTTAGTCTCGAGTTTTGATCCCACGGGGAACCGCGGAAAACAATCACTTAAGTTGAAGTTTTAGTCTACTACTATAAGGTCCTAGTTTGGAATGCCGATAAAGATGGTTTTGCTATCACTACTCCTAAGTTACAATTTTAATCCAATGTTAAAACTTATCTAGAGCAAGCAATAAGGTGAAATTCAAAGTACTTTTCTCTTGTAAATAATTAAGTAGGCTGTAGGTTTCAAGTTTAAGAATGTAAATAATGTTGTGACAAAAGGAGCATGTTTATCTATCCTCTCCCGAGTTATAGATACGATGTATTCATTAATTAGTTATTTGCTTTTGGCAACGGTGCCGGTTGGTGCCACATATTGGCTTCTCAACTGTATGCCCCGCCTGTCACCTAGAAAGCTCTAATCTTACCCTCCCAGATCACTTATCTCTCTAACTCTTCATAGCTACATAACTACTGTGTTTCATAGTTAAATGAAATATGTGAACATTCTCATGTTGATTTGCCACTGCTCACGGTCAAGTCAAATGGGTTGCAATAAGTTTTAACAAATCTTATGGTTAGTAAGATATGTAAATTAAGTCTAGGAGAACATTCATCACATATAAAATTAAGATTTATTCTTAAACTTCAAGACCCTACACTTACTACCAAATCATCATAAAAGAAAAGCACAGGGTTTTTTACTCACAATCTATGATAACTTCAATATAAAGTGAAACAAAGCAATTATACTAAATATGTGTTGTAAAGGATCACAAGGCAATCAAACAATCTCTATTTAGCAAAACAAGTTCACTAAATACGCGTTTACTGGATTACTATGCAATCAAAACATATAATACTTAGCTTTAATCACCATGAGATCCTTCCACTGAAGTTCTATTCCGCTCCTTGCAATTGTTGATGCAATCTCTTACAAATGCTTTCAAATCCCCTTACAAATTCCTCTAAATTAGTGAAATCCTACTCCTAATATGAATTTTCTGAAGTCCTTGGGGAGTTCTAGACCTTGGAACTTCGTACCCAAGTCCTCAAATAGTAGAAAATCACTCTTTTCATTGTCTCGAACCGCTAAATAACTGTTAGAAAACTGCTCTGAACAGTTCTGGTGCCTAGGCGTCGCCTTCTCTATTTTTTGTTGTGATTCAGACGCCTAGGTGCCACCTGTTGCACTTAGTAGTGCTCCAATTGTCTTGTTTCGCTACAATTCACTCCTAGGCGTCGCCTTCTCTATTTTTTGTTGTGATTCAGGCGCCTAGGTGCCACCTGTTGCACTCAGTAGTGCTCCAATTGTCTTGTTTCGCTCCAATTCACTCAAATTGTTCTTCCATTTATTCCTACAATAAAAACATAAAAATACATTCTTTTAAAGTACAATTTCATTCATAAACAAATGTAAAAAAAAATATAAAAAATTAAGTATGCTAAAAGGCATCACCCACTACCAGAAATAAACCCTAATTAGCTTTCAAAGAGTAAAAAGCATAAAAATAGAAAAATCTTCAAGTATCTGCTGACAAAAAATCCAAGCAAAAAGCCCGCTACAGGGTAACCAAAATGCGATTCTTTCCTGGTTCCTGCTTATGCGGGAAAATTTCGTGAATTGATTGTAATTCGATCCCGTGATTCCAGGGAAATTTGCAATTTGTTGTTTTGCTTTATTGTCGATATGATTCCTTATTATGCACGTGTGCCCTGCATTATTCTTCCCACGTAATAGGAGCTTCATCTTTTTCCCGGGAACTTTCTAGAATCGATGTACCACCACCTTAACAAAATATGTTATGATAAAATAAATAGCCATCATTTTTTGGCACAACTTGAGCTGGAATTTTCCATAGACGGGATTCTCACGAATTAAGTTTCGAACCATCAAATCTGTAATATGCTTCTCCAATTTTCTTACTTGGCTGGGCACATATGTTAAACAAGCCTATTTGGAGGAACCAACCCTGGAGTGAAATTTATGGCATGCTGGATTTCTTTCGGTGGTAGTCACCCTAGTGGTAAACTGTCACTAAGAACATCCTTTATGGGTTGCCCCTTTTCTAGTATCGACTCGTTGGACTCACCATCTTCCAGGACAACTAATGCTAATCCTGTTGGAGTTTTTCTTATGGGCTTAACTTAAGTTACCGACATCTCTTCTTTGTCGGTTGCAAGTTGATACTATTCTTTAACGTGTTCTTTCTCTTCTATATCAATGTCAATTTTTTTAATTGCTTACTGCTCAGTGAAATATCTCGTAGGCAATGTGGGGGAAGATATTTGCGCCGCATGTCTCATTTCATTTTGGTCAAGTTATTTTATTTTTATCTTTTGCTTTCGAATACATTTCAAGTTCTCCCACCATAAAGAAGGATTCTTCTTGAGTTTGGTGGCTATCAATTTAGCTCTCTTATCCTGTGAAACGTCTATACTAAAAAAAATATTCCACTGTTTGAAACCACTAGATTAACGCATCCGAATACATGCGACTATCAAGATTTGATAAATCCTCATCTACTTTAAGCTTCTGGCCACTCCTTTGATATTCTCTTACAAATCATCAAGGTAGTGGTTTTTTTCCATTGAAAATTTTCTAGTGGAAGTGATTCATTGTCTCCCCTCGATCTAGCGAGTCACCTTGTAGCTATTGATGACCTTTGATTGTCTCCCCTCAAAGGATGCAACTCTTTGTTGCATTTGAAAGTTTTCATGTTGTATAACCTTGATTGTAAGTTTTTGGACACTTCGTTGAGTGTTTCTCTTTGGCGGCATGACGTCTTCCGATCAGGCTTTCAGCGAATGTAGGATAATAAATGACAGGTTGGTTAGGTGCTTAGATTTTGGTGGTAGATGTTATGGTGAAATTTTGGTGAAGGTAGGGATTATGAATTTTGAAAATCTAAGGTTTGGGCTAAAAATTGCGATATGAATGGTTTGAATATGGTGAACACACACACACACATGCATACATGCTTATATATATATATGAATTTTGGTTTTGGGTTAAGAAAGACAAATCCCTAAAAATTTAGGGTTTGTCGGACTCAGATGTCAAATTGTTCATTTCTAGGGTTCTTAATAGATGTCTATGTATCAGATTTAGAGTGAAGGTGGTTGGGGATAACAAAGGATTGATAATGTGAGGTTGATGACGTTTGGAGGGAGATAAATGACTTTTGGCAGCTGTCCCGACTGAAAATAACAAAGAGAACC